TCATTACATGAAAGATTTAAGCTAGGAACTATTTCAAATATGGGGACAGTGTCTCATGTACATGCACACCCGGCGGTTACTTGTATTTGTTTCTCTTTAAACCATTTCTCTATCAGCAACTTTTATCTGGAATATTTTTTTTAATACGTTTTCTTCAAGATATTCGAGATGAGTTAAAATAAGACACTGTGCGTGCGTGCGTGCAGCGTGCGTGTGAGATCAAGATTTGTTCCAAAACAATAGAACCAGTTTCAAACTGTCAGAAAACTGTGCATTATCTCAATTTGGTTGTACTATATTATACTGTGCAAGAAAATCTTATAATACACAGAATCTTAACAAGTCAAAAATTGGTTTAAAAACATATAGGAATAAAGCCTTAACATTTTCAGATTTGTCCTTTATTTTCTTTAAAAAACCGTACACATATAATACATTAAAATGTATACATACAAACATATACATCATATATATTATATATGTACACAGCTACTGAATCGAACGAAATGTGTGTGTTTGGCAACGAGACAGTGGCTAGAGGACAACGTGTCGAAGATGGCTGCTCCAGAGTATGCATCTGCGAGGCTGGCGGCCATTTGAAATGTAAGCCCAGGCCCAAGTGTCCACCGAATGATACTATAGCCAATCAGCACGATCGCTGCGTCGTATTACCCGATCCGAGGTATGATGTTTAACGGATGAAATTAATTATTGCGGATTAAATCGCAAAATTGAATAATTTATGTGCAAAACAATAGCTAATTTTCTTGGTCTTCAGTGATAAATGCTGCACAGTTACATTTTGCGACGTTACTTTGGGCGATCACGAGATCAAATTGGAAAATTCCACCGATCTTAGTGTACATTTGATGGATGTTAAGGTATTAAACTCGACGGCAATCAAATTAAAATTGTCAGCAAAACATCCTCAAAATGTTGTCATAGAGATCTCACAAAATAACCACGTATGGAGACAACAGAATCCCGATAAAGGTAGATAAAACTTAATTGATGAAAATAAAAAAGTTATTATAAAAGTTGCTTGAAACCAAAAATTTTTCCGCTTGAAACGAAATAAACATATATTCGGACGGATTTTGGAAAGAGAAAAAAAGAGAATATTCTGAATACAAAAGTACAAGCAATGTAAACAAACCTGTAGGATAACTCCGGTATACAGGATGTCCCATTTTAATCGATCACCTCAAATATCTCTTGAACAGTGCATTTTAGGGAAAAATGTTTCAGACAAAAGTTTTGGGACTTCGAAGGGAACATAAGATGATAACATTGGTT